GCTTTGAGCGACACTCTGACTTCCTAATTCAAACAAGGAAGACGGCTGTTTATCCTCTTCGGAGGATCTCAGCCCCTACAATGCCAATTCCCCCCTTCTTTGTCCCTGCTACAGGCCACCACATTTTCAGATAACTTAAAATCAGATTCAGAGACACAAAAAGTTTTTACTTTTGAAATTATTTCAGCATCAGTCGGTGTTTCTCTTCATCTCTTCRYATGAATCATAATTAACCATTAAACTGCTGGAAGAAGTGAGACGCACGTGTCTTACTGCCCATGTCTGATCAGGAAATCTGTGATCCACCTGATGGGTCTAGTAAACAAACCGTGAACGTGCATTAATCGGTACCATTCACAGCTGCTTGAATGAGCCGCCTTGATTGAGCGTGGCTTGGTGTTAGRCCAACAGATTACAGCTGTTGACAAGTTGAAGGCCAGTTCAAGCTCAGCTTACAGCTCATATTCTGGATTTATTAATCTGACTTTTGTGAAATGAGCCTCTGATGTCAACAGTTTTGTTTAAAGCGTGAGCCCAACAGATCCATTGATCAACACAAAGAGAGAGAAACTCACCCAGTCCTGGACGTTCTGCCCCTCCACCAGCCTCGTCATTGGTTCATCCCAGAAGATGTTCGATTTTCCATGGCGCCAAATCTTGCTGCGGGTCTTGTAGGCATAGTAAGCAGAGAGAGACAAGACCAGTACCACCATCATACCCAATACAAACGCCACTGCCTAAAAGAGAACACATTATTACCTAGAATTGAAGAAAACTGACGCAAACATGCAAAACAGTAGCTGAGGATAAAAGTAGCAGAGCAGGAGCAAAATGAAAGCTTCATGGTAAATTTTTAATAACATTTTGCTCATAGCTAAAGTTAGAAAAAATGTAAAAYAAAGCTGATACCTGTAAAATTGTAGCTAAAAAGTCATCTAAAACAGTACTGAAACATAAAATTATCACAGTAACTAAAAGCTAAAGCCAGCACATAACAACTAAAACGTAAAATTAGAGAAATTGTATTTCCTGCGGAAATGCTAGGGTGAATGCTTCATGCTGAAAGCTTAAGCTGAAAGCTGCTGAAATTGACAATCTGATACAAGAAAACAGAATAAAAGAATTGCCCTTGCCTCTTCGGGGTCCATGAAGCAGTAGTGATGCAGATATTGATTATACATTGGAAACCCACCAGGAAAACCGGCCCCCACACTGCCACTGAGGCTGGGACTGCCTTGGATGCTCTGACACATATTCAGCATGGGGTTATACAGCATGCTCTGTGAGCTCTGAGACATCGGGTTCACTCCAATGACAAAGATGATGTCAATAATGCCCTAAAAGCCAAAACACAGTGTCAGACACTACAAAACCAGAGATTAGTTCATTTGTTTAATACTGCATGTATTAACACTGAAGGTCCCAAGTTTGAATTGCTGAACAGTGTACAGGTATTAGACAATGAAAGTGAACCAGCTGGTTTTAGACCATAACATCCTTTCAGACAGCTTCCTGTTGCGTCCACAGTTAATCCTGTTGGATGTGGTTGGTCCTTCTTGGTGGTATGCTGACATTTGTCTTGGTCACAGATGCTCCAACAAGACGTGCACCAACAATTTGTCCYCTTTTGAACTCTGGTATGTCACCATAATGTTGTGTACATTGTAATATTTAGATCCAAACTGTGCTCTTACCCTGCTAATTGAACCTTCACACTCTGCTCTTACTGGTGCAATATGYAGTTAATGAAGACTGACCACCATTGGTCCAGTTTAACCATGAAACCTCCCACACTAAAATGACAGCTGTTTCACTTTCATTGTCTGACACCTTTAGGTCTGGACAGTAATAGCAGCACTAATCATTGGTTACATCAATAGTGAGCTGACTGTATCTAAGATGTTTTTCTGATTAAAGACCTCACAGTGAATCATCTTAGTTCAAATTTGTTCATGGTAAATGGACTGTACTTATAYAGCACCTTTCTATCCATCCAGGACACTCARAGCTCTTCACACTACAATCTGTGTCCTCATTCATCCATTCACACAGCACTCTGTTAGGTCTCTRCAWAGCTAAMATGTACAATCATCTRTGGAGACTAATCAGTGCCAATCACATTCATACASTGATGGGACACATCAGAGGCAYTAGGGCTGAAGTGTCTTGTCCAAGGACACAACAACTGAGACAGGTGGACGGGGGATCGAACCGGCAACCTTCCAGTTCCAGGATGACTCCCCTAACCACTCTGYCACAGTCGCCACAGTTCCAAAAGCCTGGTGTCTTCAAACTGAACAACAGACACCAAGTTGGCCTTATCGAAAATGCACAGTAAATATAAAAACCTAAAATACATTTTATAAATCCYGGTAAGGTGTTGGCCACACATCTAAACAGGCCTAAGGGATTGAAATAGACAGTGGTGGGCAGTGCTAACACAAAAATTTGCTCCGCAATTTCGAAAGAGCTTATGAAAGTATTTAGGTCCTCAACTTCAAAAACACTTATGCCATAGAAAAATTAGTGGAAGCTAATTTTAAACCGCAAGATCAATTTGACACTTCCTAGCTGGCAACAATTCATGTACAATATATGTACAACACTGCCAACTAGCACTGTAAGAACCCTTGTACAGCTTAATACTACAACCACTGATTGCTGGGGATGTGATTTCCTGAAACAGACCTTTAGCTCCTGGTGTAAAAATTAAAAAGTTGTTGAGGATTGCTAGTTYGGCTGCTTCTTTGTCTTTTTCTTTTGTTTGTTGTAGTTTTTCATTAAAGAAACATCAATAAAGTAACTGTAAAACTGTTTATTGGAAAACTGAAACGATGCATTCTGGGTACATGATGGATTTGACTTGTGATGGGAAACAAAAGTTTTCCATGAAGTTGCTCCAGTTGACCAATAGATGTCTGTCTAAACCCGATGGCTGATTGCTTCGACCAATTACGTCAAGTATTGAGCTACAGCGTTTAAACTTTATTTTTTTTAAAAGGAGCTCCGATTGTAAATAAAATAAATCAATACATACAAAATTTTAGTATGGATTACAAACGTTAACTGTTTTAGCTGGGACAGGAAGTTCTAAACATTGCCTTCCTGCTACGTAAGCAGACACAAAGCATTGTGGGAAATCAGAAYCGTGACCCAAAGCAACAGTCAGCAGGATGTATACCTTCACAATAAGWGTGTTTATCTGGGAGGGGTGCTGTTGGATAGATCACATGTGTTGTGATTCATTGACAGTCATACCTTCTGCTGTTCAACATAATGATAACTGGTAGATAATTAGTTATTAGTGGTACTGCATTTTAACTTTAGAAAGCCCAAATCCGCTTATGAATTATAAAAATTAGTAAGACCACTAAAGCGCAAACGAAATATTTAGGTCTGCAATTAGCAGACTGGTGCCCACCACTGGAAATAGATAMGGTGAGCTTTGTCCATAAGGCTGTAGTTTGGACAAAAGTCATAACCAAATAGTCACAAACTGTGCTTTTCTTCAAAAATATTCAGTTATTTTGTATTGTGTGTTTGATGAGGAGGACCCACCTGCAGCACGGCCTGAATGATGTTACTGATGAAAACGGTGAGGTAAAACCTGCAACTCCGAATCATTCTGGATCGAGAGAAACTTGCCACCAGGAACCCAAGTGAAACTAGGAAGTTGACGGCAGCCATCGAAATCATTGCTGCTTTAGCCGACTGTGGTGTCATATAGGAGCTGCCATAGCCATAGCTGCCTCCATAATATCCAGAACCTACTCCTCCAACAGATCCTAGGTTACCTACAATGTAACCTCCATACCCAAAACCATTCATGTCCCATACCAAGGTTGAAGCTACACAAGCAAAGATGATGAAACACATGAGAACTGTGGCTCCTTGGAAGGTCTTGACGAAAGCCGGAGCAGAGAACCAGCGGTAGAAGTGTTGAGGTTGTCCTTCCAGGTAGTAAGCATCAGGAGAAAGTTTGGGAGAGTAAGGTACATGTTGGCTCTGGGGAGACTTCACACCCGTTGGAGGGTAAAAGCTGTTAGAGGTGGTGCTGTAAGGTGGGCTGTATACAGGAGGGCTATCGTATCGTGGTTCATACATCTTCTTGTCAATATTTCAGCATTTTCACCTGGAATAAAGAAAAAAAATAGCATACATGTCAACTTGTACGGATTATACGTAAGTTATAAGGATTTTACGTCATTTTGCAGGTACACTCTTAACCGAGGTATTCATTGAAAATAAACTTTTTAGTAATCATTAATTATTTTTTCATGTTTTAGAAAAATGTTTTGTCATTAATAAAACTAATTAGTTGGATGTAAATTTTTTTTGCCAAAATATAGTGTGTAATAATCTTGTTAAGTAAAGWTTACTAAAGATGGTTWGATTTTGAAATGAAGGGGTGGAGCTTATTCAAACTCAGCCATGAGGCACCCTGAAGTTGAATCCATCATGGCTTCCTGACTGTGCTCTGGCACATGTGCACTGGTAAGTTTGAACAGAAACTATTTTAGAAAGTTGTACACTTCTTTTCTGTGTAAAAGATAGTAGTATTTCACTTGCAGATGTAACTTAACATCACTGTTGGAGCCAACTGTGACTGCTATCACCCTTTGGTAAAGCAGGAATGCTAAACTGGTAGCTAAGTGTTAGCAACTTAATAGCGAGTTAGTTTGGGACAAATTAATGCAGGAGGCTGAAAGCAACTTTTATTACACCAATTACKTATAGAGTGTATATTGCATGTAAGCTCAAAGTTATTTTTAATCAACAAGGACACTCCAGTATGCAGACGGTTAGAGCAATCTCATGGATTTTTTCAAGTCACAGATTTTTTCAAAACCTCATTTTCAAATGTGTCTAACATGTCAGAGCCTGTAGGATGATTTAAAAAACAATAAATAACATCAAACAGCCATCTTCCAACCTGTTCTGCTGCTAGAAATAAGTTTTGAACTTATCCTTTCCTCCTGCTTCACAGCGGGCGCTGTCACGTCCTCAGCTGACAGACTACCCCTCCCCATTTGACAGTTGTACGGACTTTTTTTTTTTTGCAAAATTTACAGATTTTTGAGGCTGTTTCTACAGGTAAATATCTGAAGAGGTTGACATGTATGAAACAGAGAAAAATTAATTCACAAAAACTGGTCAYCCGAGCATGCTTCATATAAATATGCTAAATAAAGTACAGACACTGCCCATCTTTCCCCTGTAAAGCCTGTTATTCTGTTCCTACCTGTGTCTTTTATCAGTAACCTGCACCAGCTCATCTGTTCAGAAGAACCAACCAARCAGGCTTCAATTATTCAAACAGCAGAAAGAAGCCAGGCCAGGCCAGCCGAGTGTTGTTTACATGCTGCTGTAATAAAGTCTGATGTGGCAGGAGCCAACAGTCGTTATCACACAGACTCTGAGAGTCATGTATTATTTTATTTCATAAACTTTTTCTCTCATTTCTCAGCATTAGATTATTTTAGTCTAAAACTCTGGTRTGAAAAGCACTAAGTTATATGCACTCTTTAAAGGAGTACTAGACCATTAATTCACCAGTACTTTTTTACTGCAACTTTTGCACATTTTCAGTATATTAATTAATGGTATTYAATGATGTGTAACTCCAGTCACGCTAAACAAACTCAAAACTTTTATTGGTGTCTATTAGTAAGCATATTGATTCCATACCTAAAACAGGACTACATTTGAATGTCAGATAGACTAATTAAACTACTTTATACTGAAATATTCTTTAAATGTGGCTCCATAGAAAAACTTACCCAGCTGAAGATCCCCCTTTCAACTTGTCACTTGGGTGTTGTAACATAGTTTGTCTGACATCAAAGTCGACCTGTTTGCCACATWTAAAATGAAGAGAAAAAACCAGTAAGTGACACTTGAGGTGCAGGCTGACTCAGCCAGCTCTCCTTCCTGGAGCCACTGTGTGATCCAGCAGGGGCAGAGTCCAACCCCCACAGACCTCCTGACCAACTATTCACTTCTGCATGACACTCAGTATGTGAAAAAAATATAATAACTACAACAATAAAAATAATAAGTATATGTATGTATGTATGTATGTATGTATGTATGTATGTATGTATGTATGTATGTATGTATGTAT